AGACAGACAGACAGACAAACAAACAAACAAACAAACAAACACACAAACACACACACACACAGACAGACAGACAGACATACATACATACATACATACATACATACATACATACATACATACACGCACATACACGCACGCACCTATGTCTACGCCGCAGCTTTCGGATTCAGAAGTCTGCACGCCCGGCATGCGTTGCCTGGCAAGATCTAAAACCGAGCCTGCGAGAGCCTGCGGGCGATATGACGCGGCTGAGTCGGAGGAGGAGAAGGAGAGAAAGTAGTGGTGGTGGTGTTGGCAGCGGTTGAGGTTGTGATGGTGGTGATTATGGTTGTGGTTTAGTTGTGGTTGCGGTTGTGGTTTTTGTGGCTGCTGTGGTTGTGGCTTCTGCTCCTGCTGGTGTTGGTGGTGGTGGTGGTTTGTTTTTGCGGGTGGAGGCTTTAGGTTCAGAGCTTCGACGGGCTTCGCATTAAGGGTTCAGGTTGAGCGTTGAAGGTTTCTCGGTCTTCAAGATCCGGAGGTGTCCGTGTGGGGTTTCACGGATGCCAGGATGCACATTTGGGATGATGATGCAAGCTTGTTCAAAGGTGAGACAAGGCCGTTGTTGAGGACCCGAAGCCCTCAATCCCCAAACTTTAGGCTTTAGACGCTGCCCCAGATCCTGAACGAGGAATGCGAAGTTGCTAAATTGCTGAGCCCGAAGTACCTAAAACCCTGAACCCTACACCCCAAGCCCCTGCACTCGTTTCAAGGACCCCGCGATGCTCTTCCCGATGTACACTGTGCTCTTGCCGATCGTGTTAGACATGGCCGAGATCCGAACGCACGAGGCGCTGAAGACGGACGGTCTCCTCACCCTCTTCCAGGACCAGGGACCCTGAGCCATAAACTTCATAAACCTTGGAGCGGTTTGGGGTTTAGGGTTTAGGGTTTAAATTTGGGGTTGCGTCTTGATTTTTTGGGAGAGATGTTGCTCGGGCTTTCGGGCGCTTTGGCCCTTTGTTTTCTTTTAGGGTGGGTTCGCTGATTCCTATGCGGAGTGGTGGGTTGCAGCAACAGAACTCACGACCCAATGTTTGATGCGATAAGTTTGGCTATGTTCGGGATGTTTGCGCTCTTGCAGGACAAGAAGGATCCTAGCTAGTGTTAGGGAGACCGCTTAAAGGGGATCCTTCTTAACCTGTCTGAAAACGGACCTTATTGAGAGGGTCTGTACCCCAAGGGTGCCCCCTAATCCTAACTCCTAGAGAAGGGGTTCAAGATTTGTTTGTCTGTTCGGTGGATCGGCGGAGGATATTTTGGGTCCAGGTCTATCGGGGAATTCGCCGCTTGTAACCCTAAACCCTAAACCCTAAACCCTAAACCCTAAACCCTAAACCCTAAACCCTAAACCCTAAACCCCTAAACCCTAAACCCTAAACCCTAAACCCTAAAACCTTATGTTCAGAGCACTCTGCAGCTCCTGGGTCGGGGAAATGTCTTAACAGAACAGGTTGTGTAGAAATATACTTCCCTCCCCAGAGTCAGGCGTACAGTAATGTACGTCACTTGAGGTCCCGTTTGTGGCCATACTTTGGTGTATTGCGGCGAGCTAACTTCTACCATTTGCACGGTTCTCGGGTATCAAGGATTTATATAATTTTGTGCATACTAGTAACATACAGAAAAGTAGGCTATGGAAGTTTATGTTTGAGCGTTTTGCGGCGCTGTGGCGTTCGGCGTCTCGGAGAGCTTCGGGGTGTTGGGGTTCGTGTCCCGGAGGCTCAGGAAATAGGGCTTGGGCTCAGACAGGGTTTCTGGTTGTACACAGCAATGCATCTAGAACTCGGACGGAAAGGAGCAACATGAACCCCCAAACCCAAAAGCCCGAAACCCTGACGATCAACCAAGACTTCAAGGACAAGCCTTCTCAAGGATAGTCTTGGACCTAAGCCCTAAACCCAACCAGTGATCCCTGACAGGAAGACATGGGCAAAGCTCTCTTTGTCTCCCACCAATGGGTCAGCAAAATGCACCCGGATCCCGAGTTCAAGCAGTTTCGGATTCTGCAGAATGCTCTGCGCAACGTCGTCTCCGGCGTGATACATGTGGATCTGGACATCGCGACGGAGCTGATGTTTGGCGGTTCTAGGTCCCTGGATCTAGGTGCAGAGGCCCACGCACAGCTTCTCTCTATCTGGTATGATTATTTCAGTTGCCCGCAGTTGCAGATCATTCAACAGGGAGGAACCGGTGGCGACCTTGACAAGGCCATTGACAGCATCCCCGCATACGTGGCCAAGTGCAGCTTCTTCTGTGTCTGGATCAGGTAGTATGCGTTTACTTGTTCTTGTTTTACATGCTCCTGGGTCCTGGGTTTAGGGTTTAGGGTTTAGGGTTTAGGGTTCAAAACCGGCCTAGTGCAGCGTAAACCCGAAGACGAGGCGCTGGTTCACTGCGTTTGGGGGCCTTACCTAGACTCTCCCTGGGCTGCACCCCGAGCCCGATGCCTTCCTGGTAAGGTTTAGGGTTTAGGGTTTAGGGTTTAGGGTTTAGGGTTTAGGGTTTAGGATTTAGGGTTTAGGCTTTAGGCTTTGCGACAGTGAATGCGAAGCCCAAGCTCATCAAGCAAAAAGTTGGAAACTCTAAATCTCACGTCTAAACATCAAACCCTGGTATCCAGAGCTTGGAAACCCTGAAGCCTTGAACCCTCAAGCCTCCCCTAAACCCGAAACGGCAAAACCCATCTCCCTCAGAGTAGCCCTTGCTGTAACCTTTATGGTACCCCAGGTGTTCTGTGCCCCCTAAACCCTAAACCCTAAACCCTAAACCCTAAACCCTAAACCCTAAACCCATGGTACCCCAGGTGTTCTGTGCCCCATCATCGAGAGCCCAGACAAGTCCCGCGTTTTCAGCCCGAAGTCTGGCAGCAAGGGCTTCAAAGGGTGTAAACCCTAAACCCTAAACCCTAAACCCTAAACCCTAAACCCTAAACCCTAAACCGTAAGGGTTCAAGGGGTTCAGGATTTAGGGTTTCGGGTTTGAGGGTTCAGGATTTCTGGGTTCAGGGTTTGGGGTTTGGGGGTTCAGGGTTTCGGTTCAGGGTGTAAGGGTTCAAGGGGTTCAGGATTTAGGGTTTGGGGGTTTCAGGTTTCAAGGGGTTCAGGGTTTAGGGTTTGGGGGTTCAGGGTTTAAAGGGTTCAGGGTTCAGGGTGTAGGGTTTGGGGTTTCGGGTTCAGTGTGGGGTTCAGGGTTTGGGGTTTAGGGTGCAGGGTTTGGGGGTTTAGGGTTCAGGGTAGGGTTCGGGGTTTGGAGTTTAGGGTGTAGGGTTTGGGGGTTTAGGGTTCAGAAGGGTTTAGGATTTAGGGTTTTGGGTCTAAGGATAAGGTTTAGGGAGCTAAACAGGGGTTCAGGATTCAGGGCTCCTGGGCTTTAGTTGCAGTTTGGCTCAGTATGCGTGCAGGCTGTACTACTTAACGGTGAAGACGGCTTAGATTTTCGGATTGTAGTTGAGGGTTCTTGCTCGACGCAAGATTTGCAGACTCAACCTTGAACCCTAGGCCCGAAACCCTAAACCATCCTGGAAGCCAGTGGTGCTTCGAGAGTCCCAGGGCAAGACTGAGTTCGGCGGATCCGACAAACTATGCGAGCACCGCGAAACCCTGACGTTTTTCCAACTTAAAGGGTCTCTTTCAACTCAAGGTTCTTTTTTTGGGGTTCCCAAACTCTGGGACGCCGTAATAGGAGTAGGAAAAGCATCGGGGCCTAGATAATTAGCAGTATTACTATTCCTTAGCTGAGCATTGCTTAGTGTGTTTATACCAGACCATATTCTAGTCAGGTCCCTGTACTATGGCCCTGCACCCTTCATCTCCCTAGGCCTGCAGCACTAAATCCTTTACTCTACCCTCTCAGCCCGAAGCAACGTACCCTTGATCCAAAATGCCCCCCTAAACACTAAACCCTAAACCCTAAACCCTAAATCCTAAACCCTAAATCCTAAACCCTAAACCCTAAACCCAGCAGATGTCAGCGCTGAGGTGCACATGGGCACAGCGAGGCCGGGTCGAGAGTTCCGATCCAGGGCCTACCGTGAACGACGTTACCCTGAAGCCGAACTGCCGGCACATCGGTGTTTAGGGTTTGGGGTTGAGGGTTTAGGGTTTAGGGTTCAGGGTTTAGGACGAAAGCCAAGCACCTGTGTAAGGGGGGGGGGGGGTGGCTCAATGACTTCTAGAGAGCTCTTGCATTTGACGGGGCGCACGAGAGAGGCAAAGTTGTTGCGGGATTGTGTCGGAAGCCAGATTTCATGCACAGCACCACGGTGATGCCAACTTGATGTGACGGGCAGCCCTGAATGCAGGAACACTTATTGCCAACTTGAGATGCTGTTCACGAAGTAAGCATGATGGTTCAGGGAAGGGCGGCAGAAACGAGTTAGCACCTACGTAGAGCTATTCAGAAATAATTGCAACGACAAAGAGTATGATGAGAACATTACCAACCACGCAGAATCATGAGGAGTGATGTTACGACTGACAGCACAAGATGAGACAGGCTGGTGCCGAATTGAGAGGATGGTTCATGAAAGCGCAGGACCGGGTTGAGTGGTTGAGTGCTGAGGGTGTTGGGATGGGTTTCTCCTAAACTCTAAACTCTAGACTCGAAACCCAAAGCCCTAAACCCTAGACCCTAAACCCTAAGCCACTTAGGAAAAGCCCTAAACCCTAAGCCCCAAACCTTAAACCCTCGACCCCAGGAGCTTAGGTTTTACCTGTGATGCCCGGAGCTCGAGTTCAGTCTACGTCACCGAAGGTCTTTATGCCCAGAGACTCCAGTTAAGGAAGATACCTTAAATCATATATAGGGCTCCTACTATAATTTAAGGAAAAATTCCATCATTAAGGGATATTGGAGTCTCTGGGTGCTGCTGGAGGTGCTTAGGCTTTGTTGTTGGTACCATCGGAAGTGTAGGAGATAAGCCCAAGCTGTGCCTTTCTTCTTCGAAGAGGGGCGTGACACTTAGGGTCGTCTGCCGGCCCTACGGTCAGAAGTGCTTTCAAGCCGTGTCCTGCAACTCCAAGTCCTCAAAACCCCCCCCGAACCGTCAAGGTTTAGGGTTTAGGGTTTAGTGTTTAGGGTTTAGGATAAGACGCTGCAGCCCTCCGCTGCAGTGCTTAGCCTTAGCGACTACCCGCAGCTTTTCAGGACATGGTCCCTTCGTCGTGATCCGAAGCGCAAAGAGTCTGAGCTTGAGTGAGCGCTTATGGGTCTCGTAGCCCCGAACATGGCAACTTAGAGCCCTCCTTGCTCATGATTCGAGCATTGATGCAGTGACGACAAGAACGGGTCGTTTCGTCGTCGTTGTTGCGGCTGTGGTGGTGGTTACGGTTGCGCTTGTGGTGCTTCTTGTTCTTCTTCTTCTTGCCGCCGTCGTCGTCGTCGTCGTCGTCGTCGTCGTCGTCGTCTCTCCGGCATCGCCGTCGCCATCGCCGCCGTCGTCGTCATCGTCGTGGCTTTGCACACTCGTATCTCCTAAAGCTTTCAGCTCTTCAAGCCTTAACCCTTCACGGTTTAGGGGTTTTAGGGTAGTAGCCCTCTGCGTACCCCTTGTAGTGGCCCCTCCACCCCCAAACCCTAAAACCCTAAACCCTAAACCCTAAACCCTAAACCCTAAACCCTAAACCCTAAACCCTAAACCCTAAACCCTAAACCCTAAACCCTAAACCCTAAACCCCAAACCGAGGAATCTTCAACTGGTGGCCACATCATTCTTTGCTTCCTATGGAAGCTCACCGGGCCTTGGGGATTTCAGCGTGGAGCAGGACCGCTTGAAAACCGCCCTTGTGCTCAAGCAGGTGGGGTTGGGGGTTGAGGGTTGAGGGTTTTAGGACTTGGGCTAATGTAGGGGCCTTAATAATTAGAACAGGGTTTTGGGGGTTCCTTCTGATAATTATAGCATAAGATACCCCCAGACCCTGTTATAATTATTAAGGCCCTTATACTAGGGTTTAGGTTTTGAGGTTTAAGGTTTTAGACTTAGGATTTAGGAGCCAGGGCCATGGGGATGGAGGGTTTAGGGTTTAGGGTTTAGGGTTTAGGGTTTAGGGGTTCCCCCCGAAGCCGGCTAGGGGGCAGGGCTTTAGCCGGGTTTTCTCTCTGTGCCTAATTCCTAATCGCCAGGACTTAAACCCCTAAACCCTGAATGGGGTCCACCACACGGTTTCTTCGCCTTTTGTGGCCTGGGGTCGTTCTTTCTTACAATGTGGTTCCCTTTGAGGGTTCAGGGTCTAAGGTTTAGGATTGTCGGGGCATGCAGGTCTGCAGCGATAAAATATGGGCTTCTTTAGGTGCCTCCTGAACCCTAAAACCTACAAGTGGACTCATGTAGACCAACCCGGAGGTGTTATTGCGGAGGATGCGCCAAAGTCTGCGCAAAGGCGATTTCGCCACCTACCGCGTCGTGCTGTGGCTGTTGATTAAGAAGGATCTATAGCAACATAGTAAGTACTAGGCTTCCCTTATTGTGATAACTTCGGTTTAAATCCCTCAGATTGAAAGAGGAAATCCTAAACCCCAAGCCCTACACCATAAATCCTAAGCCGCCAAGCCTTCCTCAACAAAAGCTCAGGTTCTGAATGCACAGGTTGCTCTTTTCAAAGGCCTGCCAGTGGAACCCCTTAGAGGCCTCGTCTTAGACACGGATGGCCCGGATGAGTCAATTCCTAGGAGACTCGGCAGCCCATCTCGGGTCGGGTTTCGGCTTCAGATTTTTTGGGCTTGGGGTTCACGTCTTAAGGTTTAGGGTTTTGGGTTCAGGTTTGGGGTTTAGGATGGTGCGCTTTTCCCGCGTGTATCTTTCGGGTCTTCTTGAAGAGAGCCGAACCAACGGGAACGGTGTACAGTTTTGGGCGACATGGCTGCGGGGGCACCAGGCAGGGTTCTAAAGCCTGAAACATGATCCAGTCCCTATCGCCCCGCGCCCTGAATCCCAAAGCTCCTACTCCTGAGCCAACCTACTTAGGCTTGCTTAGTTGGGAATGGGGGAATGGATCCCTATGATGGTCCCTTAAGGTCCCTTATACTAGTCCCTATACCCCATTCCCCCATTCCCTACTAAGCCCTAGACCCTAAACCCTAAACCCTAAACCCTAAACCCTAAGCACCAGACAGACTTAGGACAGTGGCCGAGTTTTTGCACCGGAACCGCTTTCGCCATCCTCTGGAGTACGACAGCGCAGGATGGTCTCCCCTGTGTTATGCATGCATGAAGGGAGACCCGGCTCCGAGCGCAAAAACCAGTTAGGGTTTAGGGTTTAGGGTTTAAGGTTTTGGGTTTAGGGTTTAGGGTTTAGGGTTTTGGGTTTAGGGTTTAGGGTTTAGGGTTTAGGGTCTAGGTAGACTTCAAGCCTCTAGGCTGGGTCTCAGGTTTAAGGTTTAGGGTCGACGATTTAGGTTTAGGGTTTGAGCTCGAGGGTTTTGAACAATACTGTGAATCCGGTCGAGGGCTTAAGGATTCTGAGTCGTCAGGTCTAGGGTTTCAAGGTTTTGCGAAGCCTTGCTCCAGCATGCCATAATCGCAAAAGAAGAGCTGATACACACAATGACCTGAACCTTAAGCTCTTATCCCTGAAGCCCTAAACTTAACCCCTAACCCTAAACCCTAAACCCTAAACCCTAAACCCTAAGCCCTAAGCCCTAAGCCCTAAACCAAAACACTCAGCCCTAAAGCCTTCAATGCGAGACTCAGGTGATCTTCCGGTGATTCGAGGACTCTTGGAAGTATCGGCCGATGCGAATGATCAGACGAGGACTGTCTGGTGCTTAGTAGGGAATGGGGGAATGGATCCCTATGATAGTCCCTTAAGGTCCCTTATACTAGTCCCTATAACGCATTCCCCCATCCCCCACTAAGCACCAGACAGAGGAAGGCGCAGCCAATCTTGGCTCTCTTTGCAGCCAACACCGTTCTCGGTCTCTGCGCTTTGTTCCAGAACAACGATGCTATGAAGTTGTTAATTTCGGCCAAAGCGAAGGTGGGATTTTCAGAAATTGACGGGTGCGTCACTCAGGATCTAAATAGGTATCCTCACTTTCTCAAAGATGTCTGAAAGTTCCAGGTGAATGCCCGCAAAGGCACCTTCCCGCCTATACTTGGTGCCATCTTCGCCAACAACGTAGAGGGTATCCGGATCTTACGGCAGCACGGAGCCTCTGCAAATGTCGCAGCGCCAACAGGGATTTCAGCGGTGCAGCAAGCCTGTACAACTGGTAGCTTGGAGGTCCTCCAAGTCTTACTCTTTGAGACCGAGAGCAAGCTGCCGTTGACGCAAGCGCTACACCATGCCGCAATATTTCAAGACAGCTCTGCCAAGATCATTCGAATGCTGGTTTCAGCGAGAGCCGATATCAACGAGCAGTACACGGGGTCGTTCCGGACGGTGCTAGGGCTTGTTCTCCGCATGAGGGGAATTCAGTACAAGTTTTGCGGCAAGGCAACAAAGTCGAGATTCTTGGGATACCACCATCGTGGTGCCACCCCACTTATGATGGCCATAATGGCCGGGCAGTTTGAATGTGCTGCTGCCCTCGCCGTGGCTGGAGCCCGCCTAGATCTCCAAAACGCAAGGAGACAGAAGGCTGAGGATTTGGCCAAGCAGTTGGACGTGCCAGAAACTTCGTCCAACCAGTATACCGTGAGCTTTTGTGATATGAGTGACTTTTAAGGGATGCCCTAACAGGCCTGAACTCCGAATGAAGATCCACCTGAGCTTCCCTCCCGAACTGAACAAGCAAGGAATTCTTGATGGAAGCCCTGCATGGGCGAGTGGACAGATGTGCAGCAGTGGTCTCTCTCGCCACTTCACAAGACAAGTGTCGCGATGCACTCGAAGAAGACTATTTCGAGGTGTGAGGATGCTCGAAGCTTTCACCATTTGGATGTTGTTCCAAACTAGGGTCCCTTGAAGGCGTTGTAGCAAACTCGCTTGAGCATAGGCGCCGTTCAAGGGACCCACGTGTAGTTTAAGGTTTAGAACAACCCACTTATGGGGAGCTCTGCCAGGAAAGCTGCTTTAGGAATTATGTGTCATCTTTACGATGACAAACTGCATGGGATGATTAAGATCAGAACCTTTAACTATAACCCTAAACCCTAAACCCTAAACCTAAAGGGGTTCTAAGGATGCTTCAGAAGGGAACTGAACCCTAAACCCTAAACCCTAAACCCTAAACCCTAAACCCCTGCATGGTTTCACCTTGGCCCTGGTCTTTTTTGGCGCTCGCCGGTCCGGTTTTGAAATCCGCCTGCGGAATCAGACGTCGCCGGGGTGCAAAAGATCCTTTTAGGGTTTAGGGTTTAGGGTTTAGGGTTTAGGGGCTTAGGGTTTAGGGTTTAGGGTTTTGGGTTTAGGGTTTAGGCCAATGCCAAATCCGAAGCAGCTTACTCCTAAACCCTAAGCCCTTAAACCCTAAACCCTTGAACCCTAAGCCCATAAACTGCCTGAATTACCACATCCCCCCTCAGGCCCTGCATGACCCCAAAGCCTAGACGCTCGGCCTAGATCCTAAACTGTGGCAGTGTAGTCGTAGTAGTAGTAGTAGTAGTAGTAGTAGCAGTAGTAGTCGTAGTCCTAGTCGTAGTCGTAGTCGTAGTCGTAGTCGTAGTCGTAGTAGTCGTACTAGTAGTGCTAGCTAGCAGTCGTCCAAAATCCTAACAGCCTGAGCATCCTAAACCCTAAACCCTAAACCCTAAACCCTAAACCCTAAACCCAAAACCCTCGAGGCCTAATCCCAAAGCCCAGAACGTAAATCCCAGACTGCTCACACCCGAATTCCAGCCCTCCCTTCAGAGTGCAGCTGCGGAACGGGGCTTCCACCCTAAGCCATAAACCCCCAAGCCCTACAGTCCTAAACGCGAAACCCAGGTTTAGGGTTTAGGGTTTAGAGGCTTAGGGAGGGGTTTGTTTAGGGTTCCTAAACCCCAAACCTTCAAAATCCCTGGCACAGGGGCCCATGGCGGGAGTTCCTGGGAATGGAGTCGCCTCGCTTTGCCAATCGCGTCTCAGCCTGCTCTGGTGTTCGGGGCGCAAGATTCGGGTGTAGGGTTTAGGGTTTAGGGTTTAGGGTTTAGGGTTTAGGGTTTAGGGTTTAGGGTGTAGGGTTTAGGGAAGTTCTTTCGGGATGTGAAGAGGTTTCTGATTTTTGGGGGCTTGGTGTTTTTTGTTTTTTTGTAATGATTCTAGCGCAACTCTCTTTTGCGGTCACATCGTTGTCGTGGTCATTGGCACGAACGCAAAGTGCATTCATCAGCATCATTGCAATCACAGAGATAGCAAGACCAATATGGCTAGCAGCAGTGATCTTCTAATAGCAGCCAAGAGGAGGATATCAGTGGTTGTTTAGTGGTCGAACATGAGGTCAGACATGTTACTTACCTAGTGTTGTTTATTGCAAGGTGGACCAACGCCCAATTGCTTCCGGCGAGGTCCTGGCAGTCTGGACCGCCGCTTCCGGACTCCGTCCCCTTGGAACATACCGTCAGTGAGAAGCAGGCCCGCAGGGATCATGTTGCACTGTCAATCTGGACGACTTGCGCTTCCACTGCCGTTCCTTGATTTTCTGGACTACCAAAGATCCGGAAGATGTTAGATCCCAAACCCTTGTGCGAATCCGCCAGCTGCCCCCGTACTTCAAGCCTGCGAGGCATCAAGAAATTTGAGTTTTCTGACAAAGATTGGCTGTAGAGTTGGTGATGTAAGGGGCCCTAAACCCTAAACCCTAAACCCTAAACCCTAAACCCTAAACCCTAAACCCTAAACCCGGTTGTCTTAAGAGTTTGAGCTTTTGGGGCGGGGCTGTAGGTCTGAAGGGCCAGAGAACTCGACTGGGACTCTAGGGCAGGGTTCAGGGCTCTTTAGGGTTTAGGGTTTAGGGTTTAGGGTTTAGGGTTTTGGGTTTAGGGTTTAGGGTTTAGGGTTTAGGGTTCAGGGCTCAGGTCTATCCTTCAGGCACTCAGGTTTACGGTTTAGGGTTTAGGGTTTACGGTTTAGGGTTTAGGGTTTAGGGTTTAGGGTTTAGGGTTTAGGGTTTCCCATAGACATAACTAAGTCAGTACATAAATAGAAAATTACAGACAGGACCAAAGATGCAGAACATTAGTCTCAAGTTCAGGGCTCCGGGCTTGTCAGCGGAACAAAAGAATCCCTTTAAAGCTTTACAAATGGTTTTAGGGTTCAAGGTTTAGGGTTTAGGGGTTTAGGGTTTAGGGTGTACATTTATAACGCGTAATGCGCCACCTGGAAAACCCATATGAAACTTCGAGCCAGGCTTGTTTTCCGGCTGGGACCCTGGAAACACTCATAGGCCCTAACCCAAAACCCCAAACCCCCAATTTAAGGAAAGTCTGAATACACCTTAATAGTGGTAGCATGGCAGAATTAGCAGACGGCTCCACAGTCCCAAGCCTGAGATCATGCAGGGTTATACAGGGGCCCAAATAACTCGAAATCTTAATCACTAAGAATCCCTACTGTCGTCAACTCTAATTGTTAATATTCCACTTGTCGTCCCTATTGCGTCAATTCGAAATATTCGCTGCTCATAGCAACTCTAGATTGTAACAACGTTATTATAACTACGAGAATATGCTAGAAGCTGGTTGCTATGATACAGAATTATAAGACTTCCCCTCCCACCCCCGCTGACCAGTTGTCCATGGGGGCCACAGGCAGGAATGCACTGGGTTTCAAGTGTTTCGGGGTCTGGCTGTGGTGCCAGAGGTCTTGTTTTGTTCCCTCCCACCCAATACCCCAAAGCCCAGAAGCCCAATCCTAAAGTGAGGTCCTAAAGTTGACTGCCGCTCTTGGGATTTTCTTTAGGGATAGGTGGGTTTAGGGTTTAGGGTCTAGGGCGCCCTTGGGATTTCTTTGGGGATAGGTGGGTTTGTCAGTTTCAGGGTTCTGGGCTTCGTTGCGGACTTCCGAGGTCCTACACCCTAAACCCTGGAATAATGGGTAAGGAAGCCGCCTGAGTCGCCAAAGATGCTAAACCGCAGAAGCCCGAAGCCTAAAGCACTAAAGACGGCATGGATTGAACCGTGCTGTTTATAACTCACACCGAAAACTTTAAGCTTCTAAACGACGCTGAAAACTCACACTAAAACTTTTGGTTTCCAGACGCTGAACCCGAACCCCACAACTCGAAATCTAATCGCAAACCCTTGGGCCCTAAACGGCGCGAGTCTTTGATGAGGCACCCAAGACCCTATGCAGCGCCGAACATCCCGAGCCCTCAGCAGATGGCCGTGGCGGAGCAATATTCGGGTCTGAATAATAAATACTTCTACGGGGTTTCGGGTCTAGGGTTTGGTAGTTCTATGCGGAGCCATATTATCCTCGGTCGGGTTGCCGGACCACGCCATCAGAAAACCTAAACCTCGTCCACACTGTAAGTCCGAAGCCGCCATGCCGCAAACCGCCCGTAAACGCTTAGACCCCAAGCCCATAAAGTCAGTTCTTGCAGTCCCGAAGCCCAAGCGCTTCTACTTGAGGAAACCCTTCTCGTAGCCGTCACACAGCAACCCCCGAAAGTTGAAAAAGACTGATGAGACAAGCACCGGAGACGAAATAAAGATGAGGGACGCCGTGGAGGAAGAGATTGACCAGACGCTGGTTTTGCTCTACTACCTCAACGACAAGATCGGCGACATCAAGAAGACGGACGACAAGAAGGACGAGGACATCATCATCAAAAGCATCTTCAACGGTGTCAAGCGGACGCCTCCTATGAGTTCTTCAAGCAATTTCTCTGGCCTTCGCAATGTTGTGTGTGGAGCGAAAAAGAACTTGAAGAAGGGAGCCCTTCAAGCAACCCGTGGACCCGTAGAAAAACCCTTCCAGTAGCCCCTAGAAAGCCTCTTTTGGCAATCCTTCTAGTAACCCTTATAGCAACCGCCAGATATTAACCCTTATAGTACCCTATGTAGTAGCCCTGAGAGAACCCCTTCTAGCTACCACCAGATTGTAGCCCTTATGGTGCCTTACATAGTAACCCGTAAAGAAACCCTTCTAGTAACCCTGAGATTGTGACCCTCTAGTTTCTATATATAGCAACAACTAAAGAACCCTTTCATGTAACCCTTAGATAGTAACCTTTATAGTACCCTACATAGTAACCCTGAAAGAACCCCTTCTAGTAGCCCCCGGATAGTAACCCTTATAATAACCCTTATAGTAACCCTTTTAGTACCCTAGTAGCCTTTAGATAGTAAGCCTTATTGTACCCTATTTAGCAGCCCTTTCTAGTAACCCCCAGATAGTAACACTTACCCGACCCTATATAGTAACCATTAAAGAGCCCCTTCTAGCTACCCCCAGATAGTAACCGTTATGGTACCCTACATAGTAACCCTTAAAGAGCCCTTTCTTGTAACCCTTAGATAGTAACCCTTACAGTACCCTATTTAGTAACCCTGAAAGAACCCCTTCTATAGTAAGCCTTATAGTAATATAGGGGCCACAATAACTACCTTAATTATTTTGGGGGTTCCTTGTTATAATTATACTACAAAAGGACCCCCAAAACCATCTTCTAATTATTAACCCTAAACCCTAAACCCTAAACCCTAAACCCTAAACCCTAAACCCAAAGGCTTTTATTAGCCCCGTATTGGCTGACTTCAGATCCCCCGAACTCCCCTGAGCCTTTAGATAGTAAGCCTTGTAGTACCCTATTTAGTAGCCCTTTCTAGCCCTAGGAATTCCTAGGAATTCCTAGAGAATCCTAGAGAATCCTAGGAATTCCTAGAGAATCCTAGATTTCCTAGAAATTCCTAGAGAATAATTACACCCCCAGAGAGTAACCCTTATGGTACCCTACATAGCCCTGAGATGACCTGGGGCCCGCTGCTTCCGG